TAGGCTCTGCTGGTGTGATTACTGTACAAGGAAAGACTTAATTTGCATTTTTCTCTGCTCCAGTACAAACAGTTTGCTCAGCTTTCAGCAAGTAAATCTTGAACTTACATACACCTCTTCAGTGACAGCAGCCCTTCCTAATTTCACAGAACTGCAGATAAAAACATCATGTAGTACCCATAGCATGACAGTGTCAGGGCCACGAGCATCTAAAATTTTACATTCACAAAGCACTTGATAACAATCTCAAAGACAAGCTTTGAGACTTCACTCTCTGACCTTGCACTCAAGATTAAAGAGGATACATGGTCCAAAGCTTCCAGTGACAACCTATTTTCCCTCTTGTCACTCAGACACAAAAAGCTCCTTGAGTTGAGCAGGAGTTACTAACGTGGCAGTGGCAGTCTGAGCCTCAAGCAGTGCAGCTGTCAAAAGGGGTAGTTCCTTCCCCTGAATTTTCATGTCCTCCCTCATTCCTGCACTTGTCCTCAGAGATCATGAGGAGTTCTTCATCCAGACAGGTCCAAGGGACAACTGAAGGACCAGCTGGCTGCACACAGAGCACACCAATGGTGTGGAAGAGCCCTTTGCAGAAATATGGATTCAAGCCAATGCTGAAACCAGACCTGGAACAGCTACAGGGGAAACAACAGCTGGGAGGGGTCCAGAACCACCTCACAGGAATGACAGCACTGCTGTGCACAGGGAAGGAACAGACCCATTGTCACCATCAGGTGAAAAAGGTACTGAAAACAACCACCATGTGTGTGAAGGGTCAAAGGCAGCTGTCCTTGAGGAAAAAAATACAAATCAAAGCAACACCTGACACAGGGGAAGCTCTGCAGAGGCCCCTCTGCCTCTGTCGTCACACCTCTTGTGAGTCACTGGGGAAAGGAGAGCCGTGCACTGGGAAGCCATTTTACAGTCTGTTCTCTGCTCTGGACATTTCAGATGAAGAGCACTTTGTGCACACCCTTGACTAGTACATGTGGGCTTCAAGCCACTTCTCACCACTCAGGTTGGTTTTCTTCCAAGAGAAACTTCTGATAAGGCAGAAGGGTACTCTAAGTACATTCAGTTTCTGTACCACAGAATTCTGTTTATTTTAAACAAGCTCAAAGTCTTCTCAGCAAAACTATTGGGAAACTCGGTCACAATAATCCCACTGAACTCCCAGGTAACTCCCACTACTTGAAAATAATCCAGATACCAACTACAGGAACATCACAAAACATTAAGGATAACGTAACGTCAAATACAGCACTGACAGTCAAAATAGGTGCAGATGAGATCATACACTTTGTGTCATTGTAAAATTACTGCAAGCAAATGCAGCATTCCCTGACTAACCCTACTGAGGTAACACAACAAGTCCATCTGACTCAAATAGTCAAGTGCACAAGGTCTTCCTCTTTTGGAGGAAGGTCGCCTCCAGGTTAGACTGCTTCACTTCAGACTCCCTGTCACTTTTTCTGCTTACTCAAACAGTGTGTTCGTGCACCTCAGTTAGTGACAACTGTTCCACCAACCTGCTCTGTATGGCCATGGTTGAGGTTTTTCTTAATTTCTCTCACTGGACGATGCAAGTTGTACAACACTGATCCTGCTTCTCAGGCAGGGAGGCATAGTTCATTTGCCTGACGATCTCAGCAAACAGTTCATCCACCATTGTTTTGCTCTTGGCTGACGTCTCCATGAAGGGACAACCCCACTCCTGAGCCAGGGCTCTGCCTTCTGCAGATAACACCTCCCTCTCCGACTCCAGATCCACTTTGTTCCCCACCAGGATCAGAGGAACCTTCTCGTATCTCTTCACCCGGACAATCTGGTCCCTCATCGGCTTGATGTCCTGGTCAAACAATCCAACTGGTTAGTACACACAATCACATGGAATTGCTACAGAAGCACATCTTAATAATCCTCGTGTGCAAAAGAACATGAAAAATACATCCAAAGACTTGCCAAGTTTACAGTCATTGCAGAGCTCAGAGAAAACTTACTGCTAATCGTTAATAAAAGTAATTTTTTCTTTTCTATAAAAGCATGCACATTTTATAGCATTTATGTGCACATACAAACAGAAAGTGACTGCTGTGCTCTCAGACAGTCAGTTCAGCTGGAGGAAGACAGGATATCACTGCTTTGAAAGCTGGTTTCAGCTTTCTGAAGAAGTCTCCAGTCTAAGGACCTGTAACCCTAACAGGACCACACCATTACACAACCATTTAGGAAGTTTGTGCTTAGTTTACAGCTTGAGAAAGCCAGCAATTTAAATAAAGCCTTCTCACTTGTAGAATGTTTGAAATAATTCATTGTGAACACATTTAATCCCATGTAAGTAACCAAATTAGATGCTGTAAAGAGATTTTATTACCTAGAGATGCATTTATTCAAGTCTGAGCTGACATGGGGAGTTTACACTTGAAAGTCTGAGTCAGCCTCCTCTGCCCCCTGAGTGTTTTAAGTTACTATCAGTACTAAGTCCTACAAATTCTTGCATAGTTCTCAGACAAAGCAATTCCAGCGTTTGAAGTTACCTCTGTGTAAAGAGCTGCAGAGTGGTTTACACCTACAGCCTCCAGAGCAAACACGCTGCAGACAGACAGGGATAATTAAATATTAACAGGGTGGATTACTAACTGTGCATCCATTCCTTCGATAATGGGAGCTCCCTGGGCCCCCAAAATCAGTGAAAACGAGAGCAGAAGCATCCCAATGTCACTGCTGTTGTTTTCCAAAGATAAGTATGTCTCCAGCTTGTTTCGAGGCCTCTGCTAAGATAAGGTTTAGCCTCCAGCAGAAGCAAACGCGCCGCTCCAGTGGGGGTGTGCAAGGTCTTGCCAACCAGCTGGAACACACCCAGCTCGGCAGCCCAGGCCAACGCAGGAGCTGGAAATCCCTGCGCTGCTCACAGCACTGCTGAACTCACTTACTGCCCAAAAACAAAGCCTCGCTTCTAGAGGCAGCTCAGACCAGTTACTGGTAGAGATATTTCAATATTTTTTTTGAGAGTTTTAATAGCAGAAATCAAATCCAGGCCCACAAATCATCGCCCGTGGCTGGTTCTCCTCGCCAGTGCCCCACCTATGCTGTGAGAGCAACGAGCTCACGCTGGACAGAAATATATTTTGTGGGGAGGGGGCGGAAAATAGCAGCTCACTTAACAAGTCACAACTGCAGAACAATGAGGCTCTCTTCAGGAGCAACTGCAGAAACATGCCTTTTAGGAAACGGGGGGGGGGGTTGGAAGGGGAAGTCTCGCTTTTAATATCGAGTGATTTCTTCACAAAAGGGGATTGCCAAGAGATTTCTGCTGGAGAAGTGGGAGCTGGTCATTGTTCTCCAGCACTGCGTGGGATTTAACAATGGTGGCACCCTGATAAGTACCTGCAAAGCAAGCAGTTTCAACCAGGAAGCGGGGCTGGCAAACGCGCTTTCAAGCCGGGCATTTACACTTTTTGGCCCTTCGCTGATAACGCGCTCACACCGCACACGTGGCCACCCTCAAAAAACTTCCTGCCCAGCCCAGCGCCTTCCCCGGGGCAGGGACGGCTCCGTGCGGGGCGAGGTTACCTGGAAGGACTGCTGGTTGACCAGGCTGTAGACGAGGATGAAGCCCTGCCCGTTCTTGATGTAGAGGTCGCGCATGGAGGCGAACTGCTCGGTGCCCGCCGTGTCCAGGATCTCCAGCACCGACGGCGACGAGTCCACCTCGATCTCCTTGCGGTAGAAGTCCTCGATGGTGGGGTCGTACTTCTCGATGAAGGTGCCGGTGACGAACTGCACGGTCAGGGCGGACTTCCCCACCCCGCCGCTGCCCAGCACCACCACCTTGTACTCCCGCATCGGGCCCCGCTCGCCGCTCCCGCCGGGCCCGGGCCTAGCGCAGGCGGCACCGCGGCCCTCGCATAGCCCCGGCGCGCCTCAGGAGAAGGGCGAGGCCCCGCTGCTCCCGCGCCGCGCTGAGGGCAGGGACACCCTCCCGAGCGCCCGGCGCGGCCCCGGCCCCGCTCTCCGCCCCTTTCACCGCCGCGCTCCCGCCATCGCCGGCCCGGCCGCGGGACCCGCCCGCCAGCGGCCGCCCCCGCCCGGAAGGGTTTTGCTGCGGCACCCGGAGGCGGCCCCGCCCCGGTCCCGCCCGCTCACTTCCGGCGTGCTGCGTCACCGCCCGCCCGCCCGCGGGGGAAGCATTTGAGTGTAGCACCGGAGTCGCGCGGTGCCGGGGGACGGGTTTGGGTGTGGCACCGGGGCAGCCGCTGTGCCGGGGGGGACGGGTTTGGGTGTGGCACCGCGGCCCGGCCCTGCCCGGCCCCAAGATGGCGGGCGCGGCGCCGGCCCTGCCGGGGGCGGGACTGGGGGGCGCGGGGCTGTCCCGCTCCTGCGGGAGCTTGAACTCGTTAATAAAGTCCTCTCTGAGGTCCCTGCCTGAAAGAGACCCCCGCGAGGGAACTGGGCTGTGGCACCCACAGAGACTGGAGAACAGAGACCGGCACCGCGGCTCTCCATCCCTGAGAGCCTTCTGGGCTTGTAAAAAAAAAAGGGACACGGAGTGGATCAGAGGGATGGAGCACTTCTCCTGTGAGGAAAGGCTGAGAGAACTGGAAGTGTTCAGCCTAGAAAAGAGAAAGCTTCGGGGTTACCGAATTGTGTCCCTTCCAGTATCTGAAGGGAACCGACAGGACAGACGGAGAGAGACCATTTAACCAGAGCTTGGAGTGACAGCACAAGGGGGCGTGGGTTAAAATTGAAAGAGAGTAGGTTTAGATCAGATAATAGGAGGAAGTTCTTCCCTGTGAGGGTGGTGAGGCCCTGGCACAGGTTGCTCAGAGAAGCTGTGGCTGCCCCATCCCTGGGAGTGTCCAAGGCCAGGTTGGAGCAACCTGGGATAGTGGAAGGTGTCCCTGCCCTTGGCGGGGGGGGAGGGGGGTTGGAATAGATCACCTTCAACGTCCCTTCCAATCTAAACTATTCTGTGATTCTATTAAAGTTGTTCCCTCTACCTGCTGCTTTGTCCTGTGTCTTCACCCTCCGCGGCTGCACAAACCTCACTGCTCGGCTGCCGCGCGCCTTCGCAGAGGTGGTTTTGCCTTTTCCTCCCGTCTCCGGAGCCCGTTCTATGAAAAGCCTCCCAGCCCCGGCACGAGTGTCGCTGACTGAACCCGGGATGCTCGGGCGGCTCCCGCGGCAGGGCCGACAGCAGGTGTCAGCACGGCACCGAGCCCGGAGCCATCCCCGGGCACTCCTGGAATCGGCCCTGGCGTTTCCCCTCCCAGTGACCCTCCGCCGTTGTTAAGAGGAAGTAGCTAAAGAGAATAAACGGCTGTTTTCTTTCTAAAAAAACATGACTGGGTCGTTCCCAACCGTAGGGGAAGCTGCCCTCTGATATCACCAAATTTGTTTCTGCTGCGTCTCAGGGTCTGCAGAATTTCAGCAGACACGTGTGACGTGCAGGATTTGTCCCTTTCCCCAGTGTTTGATTGCAAGTCCAACGCAGACATCGCTGCCTGTTCTTGTCGCGTCCGTCCTGCGCACCCAGCGGGCCCCGGAGAGGTGTCAAGGCTAAAATCGTCCAAAGAAAAGCTACCTAGGAGGTGACTCTGCTTGTGTCTGTTTTCACAAACAGCATTATTTTATTCACTTTCTTTCCATTAAGAGAATAGGTCCATTATGGGAAAAGGTCGATAAGGATTTTTATCCTCCAGAACAAATGTTACTTAAGTTACACCAAATTTGATTCTTCTTTATTACATGTAAGCAATAACCCCTCTCCTTCCTTTGCCACTGCCTCCAAAATTGTGTTGTCAAGGGAATTGCTGGAATGAGGTGGCTGTGCCTGGATGGGGGATTTTCATGTGGCTGGTGAATCAGCTCGAAAATGTAAAAAGGTGAGCATTAAAACAGGCTGCCTCCTACTTCAACCCCATTAGAACTCACGAGCAGTTGGAAAGTACCTTAATGCACTCGGTGCTCGGGATAAAGGAAAGCCGTGGTTGCTCCCAGAGGAGCTTCCCATCTAATTTTAACCATGACACAGTCGGTGACAGTGACAAATGGGGGGAGGGAGGAAAGGGGCAAGGGAGGATGAGGGTGACAATAATGAGATTACACGGTCACTTAGATTCATTATGTGCGTGTCTTTGTGGCACTGCTGGTCCTTTATGTTTGTGATGGGTGGAGGAACTACGGGAGTGGAACGGGGCAAAGAGCACAGCAGGAGAAAAGCCAAATACATTTCTGTGCAATTGACTTAACCAGCAACGCCTCCCTCCCGGGCTGGGGGGAAGCCCAGGCAGGTGGGCACGGGATTGGGGAACTGGATATTTTTCCTCTGGGTGCATAGTCAGTATCAATTTATATTCCCAAGATTTATTTCCCAACTTACAGCACTTTATACCTGGGCATACGTATCTAGAGCTGAAAAAAAAAAAAAAAAGACCGATCTCAAAATGCACCAGGTTGTTCGTTGTCCTTAAAACGAGTTGTTCCCTTCATCAAACTGTTTGCACAGCTCCTTCACCGCCTTGTGCCCCACCACACATCCCGACCCACAAAAATAGCTGGTGATGTAAAAGGTTTTGAAACTCTGGATAGGAATAGCTGCTTCTGCCATAAATGGCCAAGCCCTGAGCCGGCCACGCAGGGCACCTCCTGCCGATACCGCCGCTGCCACTCCCTCTCTATCACCACCTCATCCCGGTGAGGTGTGGCACGTCCCAGGTCAAAGACCTGATTTAATCTCTGCTGCCACTTTCTCCACGGCTCCTGCCAAGGAGAAGGGAGCAGGGCTCAACCCTGGGTGCTGCCCCAGGAGGGTTTGCCCTTTCCCAGCAAAACAACCCTCCCAAATGAACATCCGGGCAGGATTCGGTTGCTGCCAGAGCAGCTCTGTGCTGCTGATGGACTCGGCTGCTCTACGCCGTGCCCGCAGCCAGCAACAATAAAACAGGCCCTTATTAAATTAACCTGCTAAGACAGAGATCCTGCAGGGATGTTCAGGGAACAGACAGATGGCACAAGCAAGGGCCAGGAATATCTCACCAGTGCGAGAGATGGATCCTGCCTGGTGCTGTGCCCAACAAGGAGGCAGGAACAGGAGCGGGCAGTGCCCTGCCCTGCAGAGCCAGCCCCGAGAGGTGACAGAAGAGCATCCTCAAGCTCTGGAGGGAGTGAGGAGACTGGAGCATCTCCTGTGGATGCCAGGGTGGGGCTGCAGCACCTCCCCAGCAGCCAAAGCCTCCCCACCGCAGCCACAGCGTGGACGCTGCCCGGCTGCTGCCGCCTCTCACAGGCTGTCCCTGCTGTCAGCATCGATCGGCTCGCGGCTCTGACTCACTGTGTCTGCCCGAGCTACAAACCAGGCTCTTCCCTGCCAGGAGCCCTGCAGCAGGCTGCTGAGCCAGGGCAGCAGGGATAGCCTGGATTTCACCTCACTTGCCGTCTAGATGGGCACATCATTTGCGTAAATACGTGCAAAACCAGCTTAAGACCAAATGTCATTTCTTCTTCTCCTCTTCCAGAGGTTTTGCTAATCCACTTACCGTGCCTTATGGTGTTCAGCGTGTAAGCTGCAGGGCAGGGACCAGCTCCTGGGGGCTGGAATGGCTGCTGGAGCACTGGGGACTGCTCTCACGTACCTCATGCAAGGAGGTCCTGTCACACCGGTCACGTAACTGCAATGACAGCTTTTGATCTCAGCCCCATCAGGTTACAGTGGATGTGTCCATCTGGCCCAGACTCCTAATTCTTGGGCTGTTTCACAACCTGCTGAGATACTCTTCTTCTTTGCCAGCTTTTCCTGCCAACATAGAGATGACGCAGAGGCAAATCCTGAGGACCTTTCTCAGAAATTTCATATTTCCTGCCATTCCTCAGTTTTTAATTGTTACTTTAGTAGCAACAAAAGGCATGCTGGCACTTCAAAAGAAGGCAAAGGACATTTTCCAAAGCAATTACTGATTCTGAGGCAGACGTGGGACTGCACTGAAATATAATTGATACAAGGAAATTATTGGGATTTCTGGGAGGAGAAGCATCTGTCTTTGGTCCCCAGGCATGGTACCAGATCACCAGCCGTTTAGAAGAGCTTGGCCCGGGAGCTGGTTGTTGCTGCTGAGCAGCAGCACAGTGGAGGATGATGTTGCTACACCCTGCCACACTCACTGCCTGCAGCCCCTTGTCCCTGCAGCAGCCCTCTGTCCTGGTTATCCCCTCTGATGCTGCTGCAGGATCAGCATCCTGCCCCAGGGCGGGCGAGCAGGTCTCCATGTCTCTGCGTGGTGATGAGTCACTGCTCCACGTGAGGAAGCTGGTGGTGCAGCCAGAAATGTGGTTTCACGGGTCATTTCTCTTCCTATTTTCTCCTGACGTCGAGCTATCTCCTTGCTGCCCTTCACAGTCTGAGCTGCTGTAATCCTGGCCTGTCCTCCACATGCTCAGCATGATGCCAGCATGGCACACTCTCCTTGGGTACCAGCTTCCATGAACTTCTGTAAAGCTGAGGGGACGGAGCTATCCTCAGGTTCGACCTTGCCAAATCACCAATACATGTCACAACTTCTCCCTAGAAATATATATACATATATATTTTAAAGTTTCCAGCCAACATCAGAGTAAAACTGAAAATACAGTTCCCTAAGGCTGAAAAGCCAGAAAGAAACAGTGAACACATAAACCAAACCTGTTGCTTTAAACCTCAAATTAAAAGAAAGGAGTGGGCAAGGTAAATATTCTGTCAAGATATGTTTTTAAGATTTGTGAAAATAAAGCAATTTTAAACTAATGTCCAACAGAAGAGTTCCCATTTGCTTTAAAAATTCCACGTGTTTTCCTTTTCTTATTGCATTCCTGCAGCATTTGCAATTCAGATGCTACAGAAATGTGTAACCTTGCTCATGAAATTTGCTGGCCAAATGAAGCAGCCAGCAATCAATTTGAGTGAAACCCTCTGCTTTACTGCCATTGGAGAGAATGAGAGAGAGAAAACGTAAAATCCAACCCAAACGGGGTATTGAGAGGATACTTTAATATGATGTTGATCTTAATAAGCAAAAACATTTCTTTCTTCTTTTCTTAATAAATTGCTTTTCGCTTGACAATTTCCTCACAGCGAAGTGACAAGTATTATTCCGAATCGTTAATTCCTCGGCGGAAGCTCCGGCGCTGAGCTCATTAAAGCGTGCCGAGGCCCCGGGCGGGCGCTGCCAGGTTGTGCAGTGACCTGAGACCACAACACCCACTGCGTTGTCTCATCTCCAGCCCTAGGACGGGCGGTGTCACTGGGGCAGCCAAGCCCCTTGCCCTGGTGGCAGGACCTCAGTGCCTTGGGTGGGTGACACGGGGACGTTTCTGCCGAAATATTTGTGCCTCTTTACAACACGGAGCATCACTTCTGCCTGGGATGGGATGTGCAAAACCTGGGTCCTGGCAGCACTCGTGGCACGTGGGACATACATTTCCCAGGAGGGCAGTGCCACTGTCACCAAGTGCTGCAGGGTGGTACATCCTACTTGATTTAAAATCATGGAATATCATATGAGAATATCACAGGACATCTGCATGGCACGGCCCTGTTCCCCATGCCGATGGCACTCACTTTCCCACCCATTGCTTTTCTCCAAACACAGCTGAGGATGTGTGTACGTGACAATGTCACCAGACAGTCTCTGTGCCAGGCACATGTCCCCAAATGGCCGCTCCAATGAGGGCGGAGGCAGGTCATGGCTGAGATGCTTCTGGAGAAGATCACCCTGAGGCTGGAGGGGAAGGTTTTCCAGACCAGTGCAGTGGCAGAGCTGTGAGCAATGGCCAGCCAGGCAGAGCTTCTCCCCAGACCACATTTGCCAACAGCCAACAAACCGTCTGCAGAGCGGGAACACGGAGAGCTCATTATGAGACTCTTTATCAGCCTTCCTGTCAAGGGAGGCCGATGGTACAAAGCTGTGTGTCCGCCGTGCCAGAGCCTGTCAGCTCCCATGGAAAGGACACCTGGCCACTTGGAGGCAATCCAAGCACCAGCGAGGGTCTCCACAATATCCCAGAAAGCTGCAGCCTGGATAACATGTGGCATCCATCATTGTCATCCGAGGGAGTCAAACGAGCAGGCCTCAGAGGCTGGCTGCTCCATGAATCCAGCACGGGAATCAAGGGGTTAAAGCGCTTGGCCAGGGAAGGTCCTTGGAGGAGAAAAGCACCGGAACTGCTTAATT